AAAAAAAAAAAGAGAGAGAGAGAGAACATGGTAGAGACTTGAGACATCACTATTCACTGAGAAAAAAAAAGTAGGAGTGGATTAGTACGAGTTATTGGACAGGAGAAACAGCTGCAGAATTGAAGAAGTTCGAGCGAGAATTTCAAACATGTTGCAGTGCATATTTCTCCTATCAGATTCAGGGTGCGATCTCAAATCTTTCATATTCTCTTCAGGATTATTTTCTCGTTGTTGCGAAAAAAAAAAGTATTAATAATACACAATCTTGCAATCTTCTGGTTTATGGGTTCTTGCGTATAAGGTGGAAAACTGGGTAAGGACAATAATAGTTGTTGCTAATCGGATTAATGTAGAAGCAATTCAGCTCCCATGTTTACTTCGTCCTGTGGATGTTGTTCCTTAAAACGATAGATTGTTAATTAATTATGTAAAAATAGATCTTAGATGGCTTTTAAATTATAAGTTGCAGCTGTGAAGGAGATAGGTTATTGTATAGTTTCGCTGCTATATCTGTTTGCCTGATGGAAAAAAAGACAATCTTGGGAATTTATGCTTCAGAATGGGGTTGATATTTGAGGAGTGTTTATTAAAACTAAGAACAAATGCTTTGGTACCTTTTTACATAGAAAATTGAGTACATATTCCCACCTAGAACTTCGAATTGGAGAAACCCTTCTTTTTTTTTTAATAAAGAAAAAAAGAAATTTGGTTTGTTTTGCAAACACTCCTCTCCCTGTGGAAATTCGAGGAAGAAATTATAATTATGGTCGGTAAATTCATCGTAAAGGATGCGGAAGTAGGTGAATTATATATGCCTTATGGTGAAATATTAGGGAAGTGATGTTGGAAAAACAGCTCACGGGTCACCGGGTCGATCGCTCCATATGTGCATGGTTCTGGGACCAAGTACATACTCAAGGAGATTCTTTGAAGGTAAAGAGTTTTTTTTATAAACTTTGCATGTTGCAAAGAACTGCTCCATGCCTTCCGATTTTCTTTATGTTTCTTATCAACGGTTTCTAATAGAGCGCCTTTTCTTTTTCTTTTTCTTTCTCTTGCATTGTCATAGAGCGTGCCTGTTATTGCTTCACCCACCCACTATTTGTTCCAAGTGATCCGTGAGGGAATAACGTTTTTGGCGTGCACCCAAGTTGAGATGCCACCTTTAATGGCTATTGAGGTGAGTGCCCTTAGCTGTGGTTCTCATGACAATTCAAGTAATTTCTGTATGTGATATCATGTAAAATCTCTTTGGAGACTTGGAATTTTTTGTTTTCCGTGTCTGTGTTTCTCTGAAATTTTAAATCGGATTAACTTTGGTGCTGTTTCTTAGCCTTTCAAGAATTTGCAAGGTGGCACTAGATTATATATATATATATACAATTGTAGTTTTGTGCAGAAAGTCTTGTTGAACACTTGACGGTTTGATTTCTAGTTTCTTTGCAGGGTAGCTGATGTTCTTACAGATTATTTGGATGGCCTGAATGAGGATCTGATTAAGGATAATTTTGTTATCGTTTATGAGGTATCAATGATGTTTTGTTCGTTGTGAAGTCTGCTGTTAGACTTTGGTTAATTACACGGTTAATTTCCTTTTACATACTATTTTATTCTTTCCTGAAGTAATTGTTTGGCTTGTTCTTGAATCATTCTCATAAAATCTGTTAAGAATTCAATGACTAGGCAATTGGAGCATTGGCCTATAAATTAAACAGTTGATTTTCAGTTCTGAAATGAATCAGCCTGTGTTCATACCTCAACTGTGTATCATCGTGATATTTCAGTTGAATTCTTCTGAGCCATTCTGTAATTCTAACTTTAGAAGAATCTTATTTTAAATATGCAGTTGCTGGATGAGATGATAGACAATGGCTTCCCTCTAACAACGGAACCTAACATATTAAGGGAAATGATAGCTCCTCCTAATATTGTTAGTAAGGTTTTGAGTGTTGTCACTGGTAACTCGTCCAATATGAGCAATACACTTCCAGGTGCCACATCATCATGTGTTCCATGGAGAAAGACTGACCTTAAGCACACCAGTAATGATGTTTATGTCGATCTTGTTGAAGAAATGGATGCTACTATAAACAGGTACGCATATCTCTGTCACAGAGCTCCTCATAATTTCCACTATTTTCAGTAGATTCTAGAATTGAATTCCTTATAAATTTGAAGCAATCTTTCTAACCAATAGTTAGAATCGGGTTCGTATGATTAAAAAAGGCATTATGGTTTGAAACAAACAATAACAGCTGCTGCTGGCAACCTGTAATTTTTTTATTTTTTATTTTTGATAAAATCATTTTCAACATATCAGTGATTCATTTTATACTACTCTGATGCATTAGACGAGCAGCTTGTGTCATAGTACTAATTACATGGTTTCTCTTCTGAAGCTACTAAAATCATTTCAATTTTCTCTGATCCTTAGAGATGGGGCTCTGGTAAAGTGCGAGATATATGGTGAAGTTCAAGTAAATTCTCACCTATCAGGTCTACCCGATCTCACACTATCGTTCGCCAACCCTTCAGTTCTTAATGATGTGAGGTTTCACCCTTGTGTTCGACTCCGGCCTTGGGAGTCAAATCAGATCTTATCTTTTGTGCCGCCTGATGGACAATTTAAGCTCATGAGTTACAGGTATGCTATTTTTCAGAGCAGAAAAAGATATTTATATTGTTTCTCATGAACTCTTGCTCTGTGTTTTGTCAGAGTAAAAAAGCTGAAGAATATTCCAATTTATGTGAAGCCGCAACTGACGTCCGACTCAGGGAATTGCCGTATAAGCTTATTGGTGGGAATACGAAATGATCCTGGAAAGTCAATTGACACTATAACAGTTCAATTCCAACTACCACCTTGTGTTACGTCGTCTGATCTTTCTTCTAATTGTGGATCGGTAAATGTTCTTGCTGACAAGGTATGGACTTGTTAGAGTTGCCCAAATGAATAGAAAGTGTGTGCCAAGATATTAGATATTCAGAACAATTTGTGAGCTCTAGAAAATAATTACAGGATTAGGAGATTACATTATCATCTAAATTAGCTTTACCCAAGAACCCTCACAATCATCCTATTTTAAGTAATTTATATTGAAGCAAACATTTAGCTCGACTTGAGTCTTGCGTTAATATTTTCCAGGAAGACTGGATAATGTTACGTGAAATTATTTGGGTACTAAAAATTCATGAATGCCCTCACTCTAGTGCATTCTTGTCTACGATTCTTTGCTCTTTATGATGGATTTTAGCTGATTTTTGGCAGACATGTTTGTGGACGATTGGGAGAATCCCAAAAGATAAAGCTCCTTCAATGTCTGGAACCTTGGTGCTTGAGAGTGGCATGGAGAAACTTCATGTATTTCCCACTTTTATAGTGGGTTTTAGGATTATGGGTGTGGCCCTATCCGGCTTAAAGATAGAAAAATTGGATATACTGAATTTACCCACGCGTTCGTATAAAGGCTTTCGAGCTCTCACCAGAGCCGGTGAATTTCAAGTGAGATCATGAGCTTTTGTGTCAAAAAAGGCGAATATCCATTGAGGACATAACTATTTTGTTTCGAGATTGGTGGTTTGTCTTGTTGATGTTGTGGATTTCTCATAGTGCATTGGAATACTACGTTTCGATGCATTTGAATCTGTGCTTTCCCTCTCTTCTGTAACTATGGACAAGAAGTAAATGTTATTTTGAATCATAGACATTTGCAGGGAATGGAGTGATTTGCTGCTCATCGTCTCGATTTTCATTTGTACGGTTGTAATGTATATTTTTCTCTAATAACAAACACCTTATCTTAGTTTAAATACGAAAGTAAGACTTTCCACAAGAAATAGTTCAACATATTCAATATAGGAACAATCACCACTCAAAAAACCCTCTTCCCCCTATTGCAATAATATTGGTAAGTTGGGTTAAAAAACTTGGCAGGACACTCTCAAGTAGACACCTTGTTGACCCTAAACGAATCCATAACCTCACGAAGATCAGCTCTCTCTTCTGCAAATGAATTTTCTGGTGTCTGTAACCTCAATTCATATAGTCTGTTGTTCTCAACTCCAAGAACCGAAAGATAACGCCTGTCCCATTCTAGACGCACCACCCGGTCCTCAGGCATCACAGCTAATTCATTGTTGTTGGCGTACGACTTTATGTTTACCTATTTTGCATCGAAAGACAGAGCAGTAACATTAATAATACAACATCTTCAAATCCTAATGCTTTTTGTGCAAGAAAACAAGTACTAAGCAAAAACAAGCCAAATTATCATTCTCACCTCAATTTCGTAATACAGCTTTCCATCATCAGCTACTCTCGAGGAGGTCGACAGAATTCTCGATTCTCGCCTGACACCAAGTCTTGTGGACATAAACTCAGTCAAATACTGCCTAAGCACTTTCTTCCCGGCCTCTTCAGGCGAACCCAAATCTTCGACACTTGAGTAGTTGGAGGACGACGGTGAAGAAATGTCCACCGAGACATTCTCGTCGAGAACAAAGGGGTCCCTGAAGAATACATCAGCACCCGCACCACGGACTTGGATCCAGTTCTGAGGGTACTTCAATGAGTACCCGTCAAAACTGTCGATATATTCCCTAAACCCAACAGATTGTGCGAATGCTATATCGCGCAAGTCGGCTTGTGAGAAGACGAGACCCGATAAAATCAATGCAGTTGCTTTTCTTCTTGGCACTGCAAAACCCTAACTATTCAAGACTCAGAAAAAATACACCCCTTTTCATAAGATCTATAGTTTTGCAGCAAACACGCAAAAAGAATATGTCTCCAAAACATTCACCTCGTTTAATTTGCAGTGGAAGGAAGCGGCGGCCGTGGATTTTTCTGCAACTGAACTACGGGCAACCATACCATGGGAACGAGGATATCTGAGCTCGGGGGAGCACGACGCCGCCTGCGGAGGCGGGAATCTGACAACGACGGCGGCCATTGTGCGGTGTGTGTGAGTTATCGAGATTTTACCTATAGGAGAACATTATCGTGGGCTTATATAGTGGAGACAAGATTTGGCGCTTCAGGTAGTTGGATAAGGGTAAATTGATTGATTTTTTTGTTATTGTCGTATTAACAAAAAAATTAATATAGGAATTACAAAATCATTTCGTCGAGTTTTGTTTATGCGGTTTGTAACCGTCTAGATCAATTATCACTAACGGTTAGTCGGTTACAAATTACGACGGAATGGTACCAACGAGACCGTAGCATTTCTCATTAATATATTGCTTAAAATAAATAAAAAAAAAAAAAACTGATTTTAAGTTCGCCGTCGTCTCTAACCGCTCACCGCCGTTGGCCTATATAAAACTGCAAACTTGAACCATTAAAACCACTGCCCACTTTTAGTAAAGCCTCTCAAACACACGCCATTTTTTTGTCTAAGTTGCCGATCTTCTCCGCAAAATCTTGCGCGCTCTCTGTTTTTGTACCAGTCCCCTTATATGCGGAAAACTGCATTTCTGCTCCATAACAATCAGGTCGAATTATTCTTGTTAACAATACAATTATCTTTATTGTGCACAGCATTTTTATCTGCGTTTTCTCCTATATATTATTTGTTTCTTGTTTTTATCTGGGTCCTTTTCTGGATGATTCGTGTTCGTAAACGAAATGAGAACAATCAAATTCATAAGCATGAAGCCCTGTTGTCGGATTTTGTTCCCCTGCAAGAACGCGCCTCTTTTAGGTGCCCCTCTGTCCAAATCCTTCAAATTTTCATCTGGGCCGCACTATTTATCTAATGTCCAATCAAATCCTCCTAGAATCTTTGGATGCAAACTCCTTTGCAACCGATCCCAGAAGCCGAATTCTGCATTCGCCTTGAATCGGGTTCGGTCAGGATTTTCATCAAACACCTGGTGCTGTAACTGTAGCAAAACAGCCCATAGTTTGGTGTCTAAAAATCTGTCGACTTCGTTAGATAGCAAAGCAGATAACAAGAATTTTGAGAGAGTTTATGTTCGGGACGGCCTTAATGTTAAGCCTCTGGTGGCGGAAAAAATTGATAATGATGATGGTGTAGAGAAGAAAGAGGAGCATGGTAGGCCCAGTGCTGGAGATTTTCGAAATGGGAGATTAAATCAGGAGGAATCGGAGTTAGAGAAGGAGGCCTGGAGGCTGCTGAGGAGTGCGACTGTGTCGTATAGCGGGAGTCCGGTCGGGACCCTGGCGGCAAACGACCCAAATGATAAGATGCCTCTTAACTATGATCAGGTGTTCATTAGAGATTTTGTCCCTTCAGCTTTTGCGTTCCTTCTCAAGGGCGAGTGGGAGATTGTGAAGAGTTTCTTGTTGCACACTTTGCAGCTGCAGGTGATCTGGTTTTCAATCTTGTTTTTTCTCTTGTGGTCTTGTGTTTCGCACGTGTGTAGGTGTGGTTGCCTTGTGGTTTCATATATTGAGTTAAAAATCTCATGATGATAGTTACTTGTTTTTATCCTATTAAGATACATATTATATGTGATTGGTGATCTAATGGTGTTTTGATGTGATGTGATTGATACTGATGTTTCATAAAGTATATTCAACGACTTGATGTTACAAGTGATTTGAAAATGAGAATGGATGAGTAGTGAATTTTTTGAAATTGCACAAGCAATCTCGTGCTGTCGTGAGAAAATTGTGAAATTTGGAACAAATATTTCACAATCTCAATCAAGCACAACCACGAAGCTGACTATGGATCATGTTGGTATTGGGGATTTAAGAGTGTTTTTACTTATTTGTAAGCAGAAGAATTATTATTATTATGCTCAGCAGATGTCTTTTTACTTAAGGTTAAATAGAGTTTGCGTAGTCCCAGTCTCTTATCTTTCTTATTGATGCAGCTAACTCAATCGTACGTGTTTTCAATTTGGCATACAGTAGGATGCTGTTGTTGCATAGGTCTTCATTTTGGTGATTTGCATATAGCCACTTTTTTTATTTTAAGAAGTATTCATTTTCTGATGGCACATTGGACGATCAACAGATAATGACCTCAAGGCTATATGATGATCTTTGACCTGGCATCCCTTTCGTGGTTCTCCATATATTTTAATTATGTGGAAAGCATTTCATCATTTTAGCAAAAAGTTTTTTTTATAATTCTCATTGTTTGTAGAGCTGGGAGAAAACCGTGGACTGCTACAGCCCTGGACAGGGATTGATGCCAGCAAGTTTTAAAGTTAGAACAGCGGCTCTTGATGACAATAAGTTTGAAGAAGTTCTTGACCCAGATTTTGGGGAGTCCGCTATTGGTCGTGTAGCACCTGTCGATTCAGGTATGCATCTTGCTCTCCAATAGATTCAACACCGCTGCCGAGAGATTTTTTATTTTTATTTATATATATAAATATTTGTTAATATTTGCTTATATAATTTGTCTGATGTTTTAAATATCTTGAATTTATGTAGGGCTTTGGTGGATTATCTTGTTACGGGCTTACGGAAAGCTTACCGGCGATTATGCATTACAGGACAGAGTGGATGTACAAACGGGAATAAAACTTATTGTGAACCTCTGTTTGTCTGATGGTTTTGATATGTTTCCTTCTTTACTCGTCACTGATGGCTCGTGCATGATAGATAGGCGGATGGGTATCCATGGCCATCCCTTAGAGATTCAAGTAAGTTCGTAAACTGCTTTCGATTTATTTTATTTTTTATTTTAACATTTTCTTGGGAAGTCTACTGATTTGCAATTTTAAACAACCCCACATAAAATCTCATGCACAGCCTTTTTTTTTTTTTTTTTCTTCTTCAAATTTTATGTTTATATATTTTGCAGTCCTTATTTTACTCCGCTCTCCGTTGCTCGCGCGAGATGCTTGCATCGGATGACGGATCCAAGAATTTGGTGAGGACCATTAACAATAGACTCAGTGCTTTGTCCTTCCACATAAGAGAATACTATTGGGTCGACCTCAAGAAAATCAATGAGATTTACCGTTACAAGACTGAGGAGTACTCGACAGAAGCCACTAATAAGTTCAATATATACCCGGAGCAAATTCCTCACTGGCTGATGCACTGGATTCCCGAGAAAGGAGGTTACCTTATTGGAAACCTGCAGCCAGCTCACATGGATTTCAGGTTCTTCACGCTCGGGAACCTGTGGTCAATAGTATCTTCTCTGGGTACTCCAAAACAGAATGAGGCCATATTGAATCTGATAGAGGCCAAATGGGATGATCTGATTGGCCAGATGCCTCTTAAAATATGTTATCCGGCTTTGGAGTCTGAAGAGTGGCGGATAATCACAGGGAGTGATCCCAAGAATACGTTAGTGCCCTAACAAATTTTTTTTTGCCAGTTCTTCTCGACCAATATATCATATATGCATAAAATTTTTTGAAAATTTGACTGGCAAAATCTGATTTCTGAATATTGATGTATTTGTTCGCAGACCCTGGTCGTACCATAATGGTGGATCCTGGCCTACACTTTTGTGGCAGGTAACAGTAACTCTATTTTCGTATATTTTTTTTTTTTTATTTTTTAAATGTAACGATTTAGATGGTTTAATGCTAGGTTCATGAAATGAAAAACATGCATCATTTCATTTACCTAAAAAATTAACAGAACTTATGACAATGCTTAATGAAGTGATTGATTTTATGGAGGTTAGATTTTGTCATTTTGATTACACCTAAAATCATGAAAAATATTTGGGCTTGAATTGGATTCAACTGTGTTAGAATTTAAAATATTGGCCATGACTTCAGTTCACATTGGCATGCATGAAAATGGGCCGTATGGATCTGGCCAAGAAAGCAATCGCTGATGCGGAGAAAAGACTTTCCATTGACCGGTGGCCCGAATATTATGACACGATGAATGGTAAGTTCATAGGGAAACAGGCCCGACTTTACCAGACATGGTCGATTGCTGGTTATTTAACGTCGAAGCTGCTGTTGGAGAACCCGAACATGGCTTCCCTTTTATTCTGGGACGAAGACTATGATCTTCTCGAGATCTGTGTTTGTGCTCTGAATAACTCCACACGTAAGAAGTGCTCTCGCTCGCTCGCCAAGTCTCAGATTCTAGTGTGAAATTAAAAAAAAAAAATATATATATCAAATGTGTATATATTGTTGTAAAGATGATGTGAAAGTTTAGTAGTCTTTGTTTGTTATTCTTACAGTGGTGTTGTCCTACAGTTGTACGGTCGTAGGTTTCAGTTTCACCCTTTAGGATAACATATTTGAGAGGCCTTCCACTTTTTTTCCCGGGATGGCCTGTAGTTGTTTTTTTTGTGCATTTGTATAGATGTTCTGATTGTTGTAAACTTTTAATAGAGTTGTGTATGTTTTTAGTGTTTCCTTTGTGGAAAATGCTAAGATCCCGTTAAGGAATCCCGTGGGAAATTGTAACCGTAACCGTCCGATAAGTGATCTAATGGTTATAAATCTCGACGGAATAATTCGACCGTGACATCTTCCCTTTGTTTAGACCATTTATTATTATTATTATTATTATTCTTTTCTTTGTAATCATTAAAATTTATGGTCAACCAAAATTAGACTAATCAATTTATGCAAAATACTCACTTTCTACTTATTCCTGATAAAAGTTGTTATAACCCGATGTTCCGGTCATGTCACCTAGAAAAATAAACCCAATCATAAGAACCATCCCAACCAATAAAACCAGCTACTTCAGCCACCGCCTTCTGAACTCCGGCCGCCGGGCTCTCTCAACCTCGCCCTTCTCCGCCAAACCCCCTTCGGTCCTCGCCACTGACGTCATTAAGTCTTACTTCCAGGCGGGCCTGGTCAATGAAGCCCGTAAGTTGTTCGATGAAATGCCTGAAAGGGACGTGGTTGTCTGGTCGGCCGTGATCGGCGGCTATGCCTCCTGCAACCTTCACACGCATGCCTGGCTCATGTTCCGCGATATGCTCAGGGATGACGGGGCGGGGGAGGTGAGCCCCAACGAGTTCACTTTCTCAAGCGTGCTCAAGGCCTGCAAGGGCATGGGCTCACTTTCCTGTGGAGCCTCAGCGCATGGGCTGGCGGTCAGGCATGGCGTGCTTGGGAGCATTTATGTGGCCAACACGCTATTGGACATGTACGCGGCCTGCTGCTGCTGCATGGGCCCGGCCCGTGCGGTTTTTGAGGAGATTGAGGTTAAGAACTCGGTTTCGTGGACTGCTTTGATCACGGGCTATACGCACATGGGAGACGGCCATGGCGGGCTAAAGGTTTTTCGACAGATGTTAGTGGTGAGTGATGAAAATTTTACTTGTTCTGCATACATTTCACTATAAAAGTAAACAATCTTTTACAAGTATGACTGTCATGGTCCATTACATTGAAGTGTTGATATTCCAACAGAAAATCCAGCGGTACGAGATTTCAGTGGAATTTCCAGTGTTATAACTTTCTATTGACAAAATATTAATAGAATTCCAATGGAAAGCAGAACTAAAATACTCCATATGAATTAACTTTTCGGGAGATTCGGTTGGAATTGGACTTTAACCTGTGTATCCACTTTTGACCTGTCAGCCGGACTGACAACAATTGTTGTGTAATCGTTGGGCTGCATTCAAACGAGGAGCAATTGTAGTTATTAACCACATTTTTGGAGCAATTTTAGCTAATAACCACATTTTTGTGCTTCAATAGCTCAAACTTATCTATTAATGGAAACAGGAGGAGACCGAACTGAATCCATTCAACATCTCAATCGCTATCCGAGCCTGTGCCTCAGTCGGCTCCCAAGCCTATGGGCAGCAAATACACGCCACTGTACTCAAGAGCGGGTTCGAATCCAGTATCCCCATCATGAATTCCATCCTGGACATGTACTTCCGGTGCGTGGGCCCGCCCGATGCGACCCGCTGCTTTCGCGGTATGAAAGAACGAGACATAATCACTTGGAACACGATGATCGCTGGACACGAGAAGCCCGACCCACATTCGGCCCTCACCCTCTACTCGACCCTTGTTGCGCTCGGGACCCCCTCCCCCAACTGCTTCACGCTCACCTCCGCAATAGCCGCTGCCGCTAGCCTGGCGGCCTTGCGCGCCGGGCAGCAGGTCCACGGAGGGGCCATCAGGAGGGGCCTAACATTCGACCTCGGGGTGGCCAACTCGCTGATCGACATGTACGCCAAGTGCGGGAGCATTTCCGGCTCGTGCGCTGTTTTCGAGGGTATGCGCGAGAAGAATGTGGTGACATGGACCTCAATGATGATTGGGCACGGCAGCCATGGCCAGGGGAGGGAGGCTGTGGAGCTCTTCCGGAAAATGGTCCAGGCAGGAGTGCAGCCCGACCGGATTGTGTTTGTGGCGGTGATCAACGCGTGCAGCCACGCGGGGCTCGTGGACGAGGGCCTGTGGCTGTTTGAGTCGATGTGGAGAGACTATGGAGTGGCTCCCGACCTGGAGGTGTATGGGTGTGTGGTGGATCTGCTGGGGCGGGCCGGGCGGGTGGGGGAGGCATACGGGCTGATAGAGGCGATGCCGTTCGCGGCGGACGAGTCGGTTTGGGGGGCGTTGCTCGGGGCATGCCGGGCCCACAAGGTGACGGAGATGGGGAAGTTGGCGGCGGGCAGGGTTTTGGGGGTGGGGCCGGGGGGGTACCTGGCTTTGTCGGGGATTTATGCGGCGGAGGGGAGATGGGGAGATTTTGCGAGGGTGAGGAGGATTATGAGGGGAATTGGGAGGAAGAAGGAGGCGGGGAGGAGCTGGGTCGAGGTGGCGGGGAAAGTCTGGAGTTTTGTGGCGGGGGATAAGTTGGGCCCACAAGTCGAGTGGGTCTACGAGACGGTGGACGTGCTGGCATCGCACGTTATGGAGACGGGATGTGTTCGTAACGGTTTGTGGGAGTTAGAGTGCGATTGGGAGGACGGGACGTGAGGAGGAAGACGAAATACTATTATTTTTTTTAATTATTTGTTTTATTTTTTCCGGCAGACTGTACCGTTTGCTGCTCAAGGGGTTTGGAAGAAGGTGGTCGATACAGAAGAAAATTTTCGACATAACCATTGGGATTAAGGACACATGATTAACGCGGGGCGCGACGACTTAACAGTAACAATTGAAGCTTACTGCAGATTGATTTATGCTGTATGTTGTTAGGTTGATAATATGATTTTATTCTATTCACTATTTTGCTTCGGTTTTACGACTTAAACTTGTAAATATATGAATTCCAGGGCACAGCAACAATGTGACTTGTAGTTGGATATTAGATTATGTATTACTAAAGTTATCTGTAACAGTCTGTTGAAAATTTTTACCACACTCCATATCGTCATCCAATCTCAAGAACAGAGGCGTTTTTGTTGTAGTCTTGTTTGTTTCCTCAAAAGTCTTCAGATTGGAGTAGTGGTGAGGTGCTGGAAATGTTTGAATATGGAGTGTTTGTTGGTAGCCACATTGTTGAGTGATATGATTAATTGCTTGTCACACTCCACATTGTTGAATGTGGAGTGTTTTGTTGTAGTCTTGTTTGTTTGTCAATTTCTTTGTAGTTGAGATGTTCTTTGTGCTTGAAATTTCCCTTGTGAAAAAAATATATGCAAAATTGCATGTTACACATCTTTCATGTTTTTGCAATTTAATCACCACCTTATAAATTTAGCATTTTAATACACCACATTAACTATATTTGCAAATTGAATCACGATTCACTGACTCTGTTGATAGAAACTTTATGTAGCAATGATGGAAAATCAACGTGTATAATTGTGGCCACGCTGGAAAATCCGATTAAGCTGAGTAGAACGCTAGACTATTTCATGAGCATTAATACCAAAAAAAGCTTGGAATGCCCGACAACATACTGCGTCGTTGTACTTATGTAACATGGATTTCAAAGCTTCTTAGGTGTCGCGCTGGGTCCGTAGTTTCATCGTAAGATAAGGTTACCTCCTGGAATCCATGCGTCAGGTCAGCCCAAAACCTCATTGAAAAATGGATGACCATATAGTCGGGGACTACGATGCCCCTCGATCTTCTCCTAGAGCTCACACACCTGAGCATCCATGTGCTTCAGGGCAGGGCGTCTGCGACGTAAGCGCTGGTGAGTTGATAGACTGTTCATGGTGATAATTCCAATATCTCTTCATCATCCCGCGTCGGTCCGTGGGTTGGGTCGTGACTTCTAGTGCTACTGGGAAAGTTTGGGTACGCGCTGCCACCACCTCTGCGATCATCATCTCCAGCTCACCCAAGATGAGTGGTGTCTCATGTTGTTTAGGTCAAGCTTCTTCCCTGCCAGGAATCATCTTCTAGGCTCGAACAGAGGTTTGGGCCGACGGCCCCTGATGACGTGGGGCCTCATTAATTGGGATCGTCGATGACTCCTTCTTTGTAAGACACCCTAAGGGCGGTCCTCGCCTCAGAGGTCGCGTCTTGATGTAGCGCAGCGTCGAACAAAAGGGAACAAAGAGATGAAATCTCCCAAACAGTAATTTTATTTCACGATCAAACTCTTTTTCATAAGAGAGAAGAAGGGAATAAATAGTCTCCATATCCTAGGTCTCCTAAACATCCTAAATAAGAGAATAATACTTAAATAAATATTAAATAAAACATGGAATAATAATAAAAGCTAGGAAATAAATAACTAGACTAAAGAAGGCATCCGGTCGTATTTCTGCATAAACGCCAATGCGATCTCGTCTCCATCACGTCTGCAACCAAGTATTGTCATTGTCCTACCCATCATGAGCTCTTTCTCGTTTTGCCATTGTTGTCAGCAAAGATCTCATACAGATTATGGAAAAACACAGTCCTGATTCAGCCTTGGTAGAACTAGGTTTCTCAAAGATGACGTCAATTTGATAGGCATCTATCAAATAACTCCAGTTTTTAGGTCACCGGTTCTCTTCGAATATTCAATTCGGTAAGGCCTCGTATCTTGATCGCCTAGATGAAGCTGATGATATGCAAAACAAGGTTCGGAAGGTGTTTTTGATGTTAGCACTCCGACGATCAAGTCAGTACCAAAATCTAGGGAGATGTTGTAATTAATGCTTAAGATATTAGGTAGATCAAAAATAGAGAGAAAGAGAGAGTTTTTAATCATACATCACATCATTTTTTTATACTGTAATTACTTTGATGCCCAATTAACTATGTATTCTTGTTGCCCAAGGACTAAACGTACAAATTGTCTCGAACGGTCAGTTTAGAAAGTAATTAAGGAATATTTGCAGTCAGAGACGAAAAGAGAAGTGTGAGCCATGACTTTAAAACACGAGAGGGTAATAATAAGCATTTTTTAAAACACAGATAGATAAAATAATAAAGACATTTTTTCGAAAAGAAATACATAAATAGTGCTGTTCAACTAGTCTCCTCACACTACACCTCCTTCACTTCCACCGCCGGCCCATCGGCCCTGGCCTCATTTTCCCGCTGCCTGGCGGCCTCAGCCTTATCCGCCTTCTCAACCCTCGGGGGCTCTTCATCGATCTGAAAAGCCTCAACGGGGAAGGAGCGGCTGAGGCCGGCGGGGGTCTTGAAGGTGATTTTTCCGGTGGGTGGGTCGTCGACGGAGATCTCGGAGAGGTTGACCCATAAGAGGAGCTCCTTGGTCTTGACACCGGTGAGCTTCCGGATGCGGTTGGGCTCCACGTAGGCGGTCACCTCGGCCGCGTACCGCACGGGCCGGCCGATCTTCTCGAACCGGTGCTCGCTGCTGGCCTTCTGCCGGAGCCAGACGAAGCCGGTGTCCTTGACGTAGCCGCACTCCGACATGTCCTTGAGCGGCAGAAGGCCGTTGGGGAGGTTCATCTCCGTCAGCAGCTGCCTCGACTTCTCCCGGCATATTTCGTCGCCCTCGTACCTCTCCGACGCCGCCGCTCGGATCTCATCCGTCACCAAAGACATTTTCTTTACCCCTTTTTTATTCTTTTTTTTTTTTTTGGGTTTTTTAAATTGATACTCAATTGATTTGTGAAGGGCCTGCTGACCTGATTTATATAGGTGAGATAGGCTACCACTTTTTTTTTTGTGAACCGCTAAACACCGCCCCATTTTCGATATTTACCGCCCCCTAAAAGACTAATTTGCCCTTTATATATTTTTTTAAAAATAATAGATGTCCCTCTTTAAACCTATTTACCGGTCAAACCGAGCCTCG